TGATCGGAGAAGGAAGGATTGAATTCCAGCGCTAGTGGATGAGTATTTTTTAGCTAGAGACTAAGTGAAACAGGGACGGAGAGAAGCGGCGTTTCTAGGGGTGTCAACGGGCCCCGCGGGGCCGGGGACCCCTTCCCCGTCCCCGCGAATCACGGGGAAGGGGATCCCCGCGGGGATTTTTGACGGGGGCAGATTTTGCCCCGTCCCCGTTTCCCACGAGGAACGGGGATCCCCGCGGGGATCCCATTCCCCACCAATTAACTTCAAAGCAACAGTAGCAAAGCAAATGGCTTAGGCTGTTCGGCGGCGGCAGCAGCAGCAGACTCCGATGGCGGTAGCAGCAGCAGCAGCAGGCTCCGATGGCAGTAGCAGCAGCAGTAGCAACAGGCTCCGGTGGCGGTAGCAGCAGCAACAGGCTCTGGTGGTGGTAGCAGCAGCAGCAGCAGCAGCAGCGGATGGGTCCGACAACAACAGCAGTGGATGGGTCCGGCAACAGCAGCAGCAGATGGGTCCGGCAGCGGCAGCAGCGGCAGCAGCAGATGGGTCGGCAGCAACAGCAGATGGCTCCTACAGCAGCAGTAGAGCAGATGGCTGTTCAGCAGCAACAGCAGCAGATGGGTTCGGTGGTGGTAGCCGGTAGCAGCAGCAGAGCAGATGGCTTTGGCTGAACAGCAGCAGCAGCAACAGATGGGTCCGGTGGTGGCAGCAACACATGGTCCGGCAGCAGCAGCAATGGCTCCGGTGACAGCAACAGCAACAGTAGGGAAACTGAAGGTGAGATGAATGTGAGAGATGTGTGAAGCTGCAGTTAAAGAGATTGAGTGATGGGAATTAAAATAAATTAGGGTTAGGGTTAAATGTAGGAGAATGGGTTGGGTTGAATAGTATTGGGTTAAATTTAATTATAATCGGATTAAATTTGGGTTTGGGTTTGGGTTTGGGTTTAAATTTGGGTTTGGGTTTGAGTTTGATTTTAAAGAATAAATTAATTTTAAAATATAAAAAAAAAAATTTCCGGGGATGGGGATCCCCGCGGGGCCCCACGGGGCGGGGAAAATTCCCCGCGAAATCTCGCGGGGAAAAAATGATCCCCGTTCCCGCCCCATCCCCGTGGTGGGGATCCCCGCGGGGCCCCGCGGGGAATGGGGAGAATTGTCATCCCTAGGCGTTTCCCCCTTTTTTTTTAAATAAAAATAATAATAATCTAATGTGAAAGCCATATCAACTGTTTACAGTAGATTATACAAAATGATGAAGCAAAATAGTTGTCCCTCTATCATTTTCCAGTAATCAAGTGTGTTATGGAAGCTTCCTTCTCCTCCGTCTCATTTTCCAACGCTTGCCTTGACCCTTTATCGTAGACCAATTGCACCCTCCTCTCGTATGATTTAAGAGTTCAAGTCTCGAGGCTAATACTAAGAAATATTAATTTTTTTGAATGTAACATGTTGATGTTAGACATACGAGGTGTACAAAAACTATTTCAAAAATCTAACAGTCCAAACTAAAAATGATTTAGGAGTTCAACTCTTGTGATATTTTTAATACGAATTGGGTCTTGGATGATGATTTTGGCACGATATATCCACCAGCTAGTTCTTGTCCATTATTCAGTGTAGCCTTTGTGGTATTTTTATTTCGATTATACTTTTAACATCAAGAATTAATCTATCGGCTTCTTGACTACCTTGGGTGCCAGTAGAAGCCGTTTGGGTGTAAGATGCTACCATCACGTCCTTAATTAGTCGATTAAGTCTATAAATACAATGCTCATATTTAATGATCTTTCAATACTCTTGTTCTTGTTGCCAAAAAACCTACAGAAGTAAAATAAAAACAAAAAATTCCCTTTAATTTTCCTTCATTAATGCTCCTCTAACTAAATGTTTGTTTTCTTTCGATCAGCAAAAACTGCAAGTTATTAAAGAGGTAGAAAGGTACATCAACCCCTACATTATCTTTTTTTTTTAAAAAAATCCTTAACATACATGTCAAAACTAATTCCATGAAACCCCCTAACCAACTTCTTGTACAACTTCAGTATAGTCTCAAAATAAATTAAAAACCATTCCGCGCAAACTCTTTGTGGCAAATGGTCGAGCACCTGCTGTTCTTAGCCAAGAACTCTCTAATATTCTAAATCTCGTCGGCTCCACAAAAATTCAGAGGAATCTAGCAATCGCTCCCAGCCTAATTAAACAAACACTTCATCTATTTTCCATCCACTAATACAACCCCCACAACAACATATCTTCACATGTCTCTCACTAGTTCAAGAGAATGGACCCCAAACAATCAATTAAGTCAGTCAGAATTCAACTCCAGCAGAGATAATTAAATTGTGTAACTTGAGATGAAAACAAGCAGAAGTTCCATGCTCCTATATCTTGTGCCAAATTGAGTTACAAATTAAGCCACATCATCAATGACGTGGAAAGCGAGCGCCATGAAAGCTCAGGGGAAAACGGACGTTTGTGTAACATGATAACGCGTGCAGGATGCGGTTACCGTGAGTGCTAGTCTGCATCAATTCACCGAAGAGGGGCTTACCCTGCTTTAAATTAATTCAGTGGCTTAAGCGCAAATTTGGACAAAGTTCCAAGACTTAATAATGAGTCAAGGTCTTGGCTGCACATCCCCGTACTCTTGGGGTTACAAACGCGTAGTAGTATCCCCGTACTCTTGGGCCTACAAACGCGTAGTAGTTACTACGTTTATTAATTAAATGAACCAATGCAACTTGGGAGCCAGCAAAACAAAGACTCGAAAGGGGGTCACTCTTTTTATTATTAATAATATCTCTATTTTAAGATTAAAAACAAATATTATCTCTACTTTGCCGCATAAAATACTACGTTTATTAATTAAATGAACCAATGCAACTTGGAAGCCAGCAAAAGAAAGACTCAAAAGGGGTTCACTCTTTTTATTATTAATAATATCTCTACTTTAAGATTAAAAACAAATATTATCTCTACTTTGCCGCATAAAAAAAATAAAAGTTAAGATGTGTTGACTTGAATAAAATCTTCATGATTAAGGTTAAGGAACACAATCATTCTAAAGAATTTTCCTTTTAAAATTACTTTTATGTGACGAGACCTTAATTTCATCTCAGCTTCATTTCATACCTAAACATCTTAGTATAATTGTCCAGCACTTGGCAGCTTATTGGTCCCTCCTTGCAGGATATGTTTAGGACTACTAAAATCTGGATTTTAGTCTCATGTCTCCTTTTTCCTTTTCCCCAAAAAATTTTCCAATTGTTCAAAAAAAAAAAAAAACATCTTAGTATAATTAGTACCTCACAATTAGTTTTTTGAATTGGACTTGTTGACTTAACGTCAACGTTTAAGCGAACATCATATCTCCGCAAGAGGT